TCTATGAAAAAAAAAAAAAGATAAAGGAAAATCATCGACCTTCATCTCTGTGATTTTTGTCAAGTTTTCTGCAACGTTAAGCTTGCCATGCGGCCTCTGAGTTACTGATTGGTCAAGCTGCTCCAGTCAGCCAGTCAGTCAGGTGTTTCAGTCAGCCGGTCTGTAAGTCCGTCTGTCAGCAGCTTCAAAGTCAGAGTGTGGGAGCCTAACGTTCAGAAAAGCAGAGAAACACACTACAAACGTCGTCTCAGTACTAACCCCTTTCTATGATTCTCAATGAAGGGCAGTCTTTGTGATGCAGCTTCAGGAGTGCTTTGTGTCGAAAGCACTTGCTAAAAATCCTGCCATCAGTTTTTATGTTGGGGAATATAAACAAAACAAAAAAAACAAAAAACAAAAAAAATAATGTCCAGTACAATTCCCCTGCAAGTTTTACAAGTTGAATTTTAAAATATATACACCATATTGCCATGTACCTGAAAGTGATTAGAACAGGTAGACATTAATTCAGGTATCAATTAAATGAATAGTGTATTTTTTAAATGTTGCACATTCTCGTATCTTGCCTTACAATGGCTATTGAGTGTTGAACTGGTTATAGATTTTTTCTTTGTAGATAATGAGTATAGTTTTGTAATTTGTTATAGATATATTTATTGATTATTATTATTTTTGTATTGTTTCTTTCTATTTTGTAGGTAGAGTTAAGCCATTGGTTCATAATATTGTTTTATCCTCATTTCACCCCCAAAAATGGATTTTTGAATTACTTGTAGATAATTTGAAGCCCTCCTGCTTGAAACAGACATTTAATTTCCCTTGCCATGTAAATGGTCCTGAACTCAGTATCTGGAATTGCAGTGCAAATATTGAATGAAAAACAATGCTGTATAAATACAATTTTATTAGTGAAATTTGAATAATAGTTGGAAGTGCATTAGAATCTTAAAAAATCCTGAATAAATAAAAATATATCTAGCTTTTTTTTTTAAAGAAAAAAGCAAAGACCAAAAACTGCTATATCATTATTAGAATTATATGAATATAAATCATCCAGAGTCCTTGTTGTAATGAATTATCTAGTTGCAAATGAGAATCATGAATGCGTCCGTCTACCATGTACATAACTTCTGGGTATGATGTATGTGCTTAATGGAGCTTAATAACTTACTAATTTATTAAACTACTCATTAATACTTACATGATGTGGAGGTAAAAGTTTCAGTATGGCTCTTGGTAGCACTAAGAAAAATCCACTCTCACTATGCCTATGTCTTGGTTCAACACACTCAGCATTAGACTAGTCATAGCCCAAGTATTGGTTTCTTAATTGTAATATGTGTAAGGAAGACAAAGGAATTTTTTTCCTGATCATTCTTTTCTTTTGAGGTAGTATCTGTACCATTAAAAGTTAATAAGATATGTTGAGTTTAATCATAAAATGTAAAGATTTTGTTTTATAGCTCTCAGGAATAGTAATAACATTTGTGTTGCTATGTTTACTTGTCAGACATATTTTAGTTACTAAAGCCTTCATGGTTATTCATATATGTATTTGTGAACACTGCTCTCTGACAGATAGAGTTCCTTTTGTAAGAGAATAGTAAAAGATATTTGAAAACCAGTTAGGCTTACTACTGTTTGCTTATGTTTATAGTGCTTTTGGTTAAAAATGATGAAGAGATGGATATGAGGAGAAGAGATAATGTGAAATAATGACTAAGTTTGTTTAGAATACATTGAATGATGTAGGCGATCCTCTTCTTTAATGTAGCATTTGCTTTTGTTTAAAAGAAAATCAGTTGATTACATGATTCTCAAGAATTATGCATTTTTGCGAGTGTATAAAACCCTTGCACTGAATATTTTCTACTGCACACCGATTATAAAAAAAAAAAAAAAAAAAAAGCTTCAATCTGTATGTAAAGACCTATGCATCATTTTTATATACTTTAGATGTGTATATTATTTGGTACTTTTTAAAAATTATTGACAGAATAACACTAACATCCCAAAAAATATTGAATGCCATGTAGAATATTGGTCTGAGTGTATTTTAAAAAGTAATAAAAGAAAAAATACCGAGATTATTATTTTTTTCAGTTCTGAATCAATATATGCATGTTAGCATGGATTATTAAAATTTATTGATAGATAATTTCTTTGCCAAATAAGGTGTATTATTTCTGAACTTGAATATTTTGAATACTGGAACATTTTCACCTGCAATACAATACAACACATTTACATTTGAAATATTTCCCACCCTCAGCAGCTTTTTTTTTCTCTCTCTCTCTCTCTCTACTGTATGTCTCTTGGATGTTCATGAATATCATCAACTATACCACAGGATAATTTGTGTGGTATTGCTAGGCAGTGCTTCCTGGTTTGAACCGAGTGCCGTTGTTTACACCACCGATTCCACCACAGGTTCGGTACTCGTGTGTTCTTGCAAGACACAAAAGAAGCTAGAGAAATAAAGAGACAAAGATTATGACAATGTAGACAGGATTCTAATAAAAGCAACAGGAGGCCGATGAACACCGTTGAGTTTCAGGCAGCTCTAACATCAAGATATTATTGATCTGTTTCTTTCTTTTATCAAATGGCAAAATAGATGACGAAAGACCTGTCCACACCAGTGAGCACAATTGGCAGGTAAACTACTAGGTAAAATAGTATTTCCCCCATTGTTCCTTCCAGTCATACCCACTCCTATGGACAGGCCTGGATATATGCTTGCACTGTGTTAACTATCACGATATTTAATTAGTCAGCCCTTCTGAATCTTTTTAAAACTTAGATATGCTGTTTCAATCTTGCATAATACATTAAAAGATTGAATGAAAGGTGATGCTTAGCAATTGAGGCTCCCTAATTTACAAGAGGGATTTGTACCAGAATGAAAAAACGTCAGAAAATGCAATCACTGGTTGGCAGAATTAAAAGTAACCACAACTTTTTATATATATATATATTTTCAAGTTGGTGATCTTCATTAGAAAAAAAAAGCACTTTCCTATTATGTAATAGTCTTAGTAAATTTTCCATTGAGCTTATTCTGATCATTTAGATTCAGGAAGGAAAAGTTGATAGGTATTTTTTATGACTTTCAACATCACTTACAATATATAAAAGAAGGCAAAGAATTGTGCGCAAATCCCCCTTATAATGTGGGCACCCTCATTTGATGTAAATAATTCTCTGTTACACACACACACATATACTGAAACAAACATTCACATATACATGCAGATATATATGCACACTAACATACCCCCTCCACACACACACACACACACACACAATGTGCACACACCAATGCACACTTGCACACACAAACACACACATGTGCACACATGCACACACACATGTGCACACATGCACACACACATGTGCACACATGCACACACACATGCGCATACACGTGCACTCACACACATGCGCATACACGTGCACTCACACACATGCGCAAGCACACACTCACACAAACTCACACACAGATGTGTTTACACACACACACAAACTTACACACACACACACACACACACACACACACACACACACACACACACACACACACACACACACACACACACACACACACACACACACATACACACACATCACACACATCACAAGCACACACTACACACACACACACACACACACACACACACACACACACACACACACACACACACACACACACACACACACACACACTCTCACACACTCACACACTTACATTCACACTCACAATCACACTGGTATCATATGCACACATACATATTCAAAAGGAAAATATATATATTTATGTACCGAATGACCCAACCACTAGATGAGTGTGCAGACAGTTCGATATGTGATTCTTTTCCATAAAACCAAATTACTAGTATTTGAAGTGGAAGTTGAAGTATGTTAGTGTGAAAATTTTTGTGTTATTAGAAGTTGTTGATTCCTTTACACCAGGATTTGTTTGCTCTTCAACTAAAACATTCAAATACATATTTTTGTATAATCATATAAAGTAGGATTTTATGTTACTAAATATTCTGGCCTTAAAAGTTAAAGATAACTTTGTAGGGAATATAGAAAAGTAATGCAGTTCCATAGATTACAAACGTTTCGTAAACTCAAGATAAAGAATGCCATTCTCTGTTGTATTATTATATGTATTTCATATAATCTGTGCTGAGTTGTAATATTTTATGGAAAGAAATATACGTATATCAAATATAGAAAAATAATCCAGATCCCTAGTTTGAAAAAAAAGAGTTTCATAAACTCAAGATAAAGAATGCCATTCTGTGTTGTAGCATATGTATATTGTATAGTCTGTGCTGAGTTGTAATATTTTATGAAAAGAAATATACTTATATCAAATGTCTTGAATTAGGGGAATAGCTGTAGGTTACTCCCCATTTCACTAGCCATGTTGTTATGTTATATACTTCTATCAAATGAGGAGAGATAGAAGTGGAAGTAAATATCCTTTCATCTACCCATCCCTGTGTGTGTAAGTGTGTATACATATTTGTATATAATGTGTGTGTGCATGTATGTGTGCATTTATTTATGTTCCTTGAATGTGTGTATGTGTATGTGTAAATGTTTGTATAGATATGTGTAGGTGTGTATTAATGCATGTTCCCTTTCTCTTTATGCACATAATCAAAGTATTATAGTTGGCAAGTGAAGAAATTCTTTTTTTATTCCAAAATTACATAAAATACGTAAGTTTTGAAAGTGCTATTGGTTAATTGCAGTGTTTACATGCAATACAAACAAAAATAGACAATAGACAAAATAGACATTTTATTCTGTGACTATTTTCTTCATTACTTTAACACAAAGTCACTTAATTATTTTTTTGCTATACATCGTATCCACAAAAGGATGTCATTGTATGTCAGGTTAATTATCATACTAAGTTGGTTTTGACTTGAATACAAAAGTATGAATTAAGATATCCAAAGTAATGAACTGTAGGAATTAAGAAATAACCCTTTATTGCAAATGCATGCGAATGATCTACTTCCATTAAGCCATTTCCTTGAGAGTAACTGTATGTATGTAAGTTTACATGCATGTGAGTAAACCTACAGCTATGTATGGTTGTGAAATTGACTACCAAATATAGATCTGATTATTTTAAAGTTGGACTTGAGAAAGGTTAATGATTATATTTATTAAAGGGGTTGCCTTTTTTTTTTTTTATTCGTACCTAACTTGGGCTTCATTCTTAAAAAAATGTATCTGGTTGAAAAATGGTTTAGTTAAGTGTAAACAAAAAAAATTGTGCTGAGTTGTTTTTTTGAGAAATTTTTTGGCTGGTTTCACTTTCCAACTGCATTCTTGCTCTGATCTAGAACTTTGTCTCTCTTAAAGTAATTATTATTATTATTTTAGTTATTTTACCTATTTTGTAGTAAGGAAATATTTATTTTTGTGAGCATTACCTTTTTCTTTACCATTTGTAGTAAGCTTTTGATTTCAGACATAATCTAAATATATGGATTATGTAGCCAATGTGTATTAAAAAAAACTAATTTTAAGCATATGTTTAGGAAACGTTGCCAAGTGATGCCTATACTGACATTATTTGAAGATCTAGCATAGGTAAACTGACCTTAATTAACAGATATATATATAACATAAAATTAAGAATGGTAAAAGTTTATTTTTCTCATTTGTCTTTTACTTTTGTTTCCCAAAAATAATAGTAACAAGTAATATATTTAGTTCAAAAGATGTATATTATTGATATTTGAAAAAAAAGAAAAGAAACTTGTTATATCCAAATACACTTAAAAAGAAGTCTGTATAGTTCATATTTTCTTGATAATTTTATCCAAAAGAAGTTTGTATATTCACATTGTTTTGCTAATTCTATCCAGAAGTAGTCTGTATATTCTTTTCTTTTTTTACTTTTTTTTTCTGAAAGAAGTCTTTATATTCATTTTTTTTTTCAATTTTATCAAAAAAAGTCTGTACAGTTCACACTTTCTTGCTAAAGATATCCAAAAGAATTTCTAACTTTATCCCAAAGGAGGCCTCATTTTGGAGAATGTTTCTTCTTGTTTCATTGTAGGTTTTAACAAACTTCTTGAGGACTTCTTCCAAATTTCAAGTTTGCTTTACCCATATCTTGCATAATTTTACTAATCCTGGTGGTTTAAAGAATTATAAATAACTCTTAGAAATAATTTTAGGTCCCTTTATGCATCATAGCTCACATAATCTTATCAATCCCAGTAGTTTAAAGAATTAAAAAGAAACTCTTATAAATGACTACTATTTTTTTGAGGTCTAAATGACGAGATTACTCCATGTAATTCATAGGACGTTTAAAGCATGTTTGCCTTTTTTTCAGAGTGCTCTTAGTGTTCAAGCTGTCTTCTGACACTTAAAACTGGTTATTACCTTTGAAGTTAAGCAGGAAGTTCATTCTGTTAGAATCAAGCATGCTTTTAGTTTGTCCAGTACTGCAGATTGCAGCTTATTTCAATTTGCTTCTCATTTTGTGATTATAATCTGTATCTTAAAAAAATATACATATATTAATTATAAGTATAAGGTGTGTGATGTATTGATTGTGCAGCTAACGACTACAGAGCTCTTACTGTATTTCCTAGTTTGATATCATATTGGAGATATATTAAATACTGAAACCAGTGCCCAGGATTATCATTTCCTTATTGAAGGTTTTGTAAATCATGAACTGGAACCTCTCCTACTTCCATTACTGACTGTTGAGAAGATTGGATTTTTCTGAGATATGTGGTTCATCTGTTTAGTTAAGGATAGTTAAATATTTGGATCCATTATCTTTTTAATTTAAAAAAATATTATAAATGTATAAATAAAATTGGACTCATTATATAAGTCTGATTTGGTATTATGCCATGCACTTCTAAAGTAAACAATATTTCAAATGTCATTATATAAGTAAATAAAAGATGACAATTAGAAAAATACGAAATGGTAAAATATGTATCAATTAAAAGCAGGATACACTTTTAACATATAGGAAAAAAAGTCTGATAAATTGACATTTTTTAACCATGAGAAGAAAGACTCCCAACAGCTCTATCACTGGTATTAATACCCGAGATACACAAGATAGATTTCCTGAAAAACGAGACATTTCCAAAATCCTGCAGAATTTCACCTTTGGAACTGAATTAACCTACTCTGTGTACCATGAATTTTTCTGCTAGTGTATCCGCATGGTAGAGTGTTCAGTCATTCTGTTTCTCACTCTATAAAAAGTTTTGAGCAATCTATAACAAGACTATGATAAAACAATTTTTAGTTCATAGAAGGAACAATTAGAGATATGTATTGATGAATATCAACATGTAGGCTTATATAAGCCTTCATCTTGCCTGGATCCACTTCTCAGGGTAACAAACCTCTTCTCTGATGCACGAAGGCGATCTTCCACATCTTGAATCCTTATGAAAATGAAAATGAAATCTAAAAAAATTGTAGTGTATTTTCTTTCAGTATACATTTATACATTTATTGGCATTCATATATATATATATATATATATATATATATATATATATATATATATATATATATATATACATATATATATATATATATATATATATATATATATATATATATATATATATATATATATATATATATTATATATATATATGTCATTCTAGTTCACAAATGATACATTTTTGTATAATAAACTCAAGTTTGAAATTTGAACAATAAAAAATAAATTGTTGCTAATAACAAAATTAAATCTAAAATCTTAGTTCAAGAATCTTGCTATAAGGCTTTGACTGTGCAAAAGGACTGTAGTGTAATTCTATTTCATTTGTGAAATGTAAAAATAAATCATTTAAAATAAAAGGAGCCTCAACTTCATTCTTTGGAATAGTATCAGGTGTCTTGCTTATATAAATTAGTATTTTTGAAGATTTCTGAACACCACAGTAGTTCTTAAAACTTCTATCAAGCATTTAGTAATCATTTGTCTCATTATATCAATGAAATTAAACTCATAACCTACCTTTTCTCATAATGAGAATTGAGATCTCTTGCAATGGCCAAGTTAGTACTGGCTTCGTGCAATGAACGCACTAACTGCTGACTCTTGCTCTGACACTCCTGCAGGCGTCGACTGACCTCCGACACCTTCAGGTCACTTTCTTTTCTCTGATCATTCATTTGCACCTGTAGCCTTTAAGTACACAAGAATAAAATGCATCACATAATGACATTCGTTGCAGTACAAAAATAAGGACTCATTTGGGAGTCTACAAACCTACTGAATGTCTGTCCCTTTTACATACCTATTTTATCAGCATTTAATCCATTGCCGCTGGGGAAAATGAACAAAAAATGGGGAAAATGCTGTACTCATTTTTTATATTTTTGTGAAATATCTCTGTCCATAGATGGCTCTGCTAGTCCTGATTTCACCTTTCCTTGAATTGGCGGGAAAAAAACGTATTCTTACTAGTGCTATAAATATAGATGGTGTTATTTTTAACAGCATATTAGGATAACGATAAATATTTTCGTAAATCGATGAAAAGGGTGAACGGGCGAGACAGGCGGTACTCGTAATTGGCTCATTGGTAACTTACAAGTACAAGTGTAGCCATCTATGTGTAAAAACAATCAAACAAGTCGACTCACAGTGGGCATGGCATGTACGTAAATGCCATCCCTGGTGGCAATGGGTTAATAGATTGTATAATGGGAGAACCAATAGTACACTGTCACATACAACAACAACAACAACAAAATTCCCTTTTACCTTGTATAGCTTCCTTGGAGACTAGCAATATTATCCTGCAGCTGCGTCACAACTTCTTGGTGCGTTGAATTTAGGGCATCCAGTCGGACTCTGCTGGACGATGATAGTTCTTCGAGCTCCTCTGTCTTCAGTCTGGGATGAGGAAAAGAAAAATCATATTGACACTTCTTACATCCTTCTCTTTCTCTTCTGTGCATGTCAGTATAGGTATATACTTCCTTGTGAGTTTATTTATATAAAACTGATGTGAGGAGTGTCTCTTATATGTATGTGAGTAATGTGTATGAATACAATTATGAACAGTATTAGATAATCCCAATGGTAAAGAAAAGAAAATGTTACATAAATATAAGCCCTGATTATATGGTTTTAATACACATGCATAAATTTAAGGATGAAAAATAACTAATCAACACACATATAATCAATAATCAATATTATATACATAAAACATAAAACAAGTGATTAATTAACCTTAACTGCCTCTTCAAAAACTTTTCACTGGATTCGCCATCTTCTTTTGCCCTTTCTAAAGTGGCTGTAGCATTAGTATTTGCACTTCTAATCTCTTCGCATTCTAAACGCAAGGCCTCGCACTCGCTACGTGAAATACTCAGTCGCTGTTCCAGTTCCTGTATCCTGTGGAACAATTCCTCTTTCTGCTGTTCATAGCTAATGGGAGAACAAAAAGATAATATAAAAAGTGGAAATAGAATTAATGACAAAAAACAAAAAAATTCTGCAGATACCTTTTTTTTTTATATATGAAAAACTTGATACTCACTCTCTCATGCTCAGTTCATTCTGATCAGAAACACTCTTCTTCTCTGCTATTGTATTTGTAATTTTAGATTCTAAAACGTTGATGCGATCATGCAGGTTTAATGTCTCTGCTCTGTGTTGCTCTTTTCTGTTGCTTAATTCTGTCATTAAACGTTCAACTTCCTCAGCCATTTTTTTCCGTTCACGTAAACTTCTGTCGCATTCTAACTGCTTCTGATTTAAAGTCTAGAAAAAATAATAGACAAATAAATAAATAAGCAAATAAATAAATTATATTTTTTTACCAGCTTCTTAATGTTATGACCCACACTGCAGACGGTTAATATATATGTTATAAAAGTTTCCAGTTCACACAAAGCTCACCATTTCCAGCTGAGCCACTTCCTGAGACAATTTCTTTATGTTGGCATTGTAGTCATCTTTAATCTTGTTTACCTCTGCCTTAGCTTTCAGCCCGGCTTCTTCCATTAAACTTGCTACTGTACTTTCAAGCCTCCGTACTTCATCTGTAATGGCAAAGGAATCGCTCAATTTTGCTTTTGGATGATCTTTTCTACTCATTAAAGGTTACGATATTAACCAAATATTATCTGAAGTAAGTTTCCTTGACTCTCTTAGCCCATCTTGCTTTCTCCTGATTAGTATTATACTTGAAACATATCAAAACAAACATACATACAACAAATGTACTTAGTCCAGTTATAGTCACACACACATACACAATCATTTATAGATTAGATATATGTTTGAGAATGATCTACATAGAGCATGCACTGCAACATAGGCAAAACTAACTGAGTGCATGTTTCTCTCTCAACAGAGCTGCATCTTTTTCCACGAGAGAATCTTCTGCAATTCGTAAACTGTCAGCTACTCGCCTCTGAGCATCGTTTAATTTTTCTTTCACGTTTGAAAGAACTTTCGTCATCTGATCCTGAAATAAAAGCAGTAACTGTGAAACTATAAAATCATAATAATAATAATAAAAATAATAAAAATAATAATAATAACAATAATAATAATTATTAATAATCATCATCATCATCAATTTCATTATGCTACACTGAAGAGAGGTTTACTCTCTTTCCATTTTTTCACTTGGAATACATAGGAAAAACTGGTATTCTAATCAAATACTTTGCTCTTCTGCAATGCCTCTGTCTGAGCAATTAGAGTCCTCAGGTCATCACTCTGCTCTAAGAATTTGGCATTCAGGGTTCTATAGGTGTCCCTTATTTCCAGTGCTGCGCTTTCTTTCTCTTCTAATGTTGCCTTCAGTGCCTGATTCTTTTGAAGTTCTTGTTCTAGATTTGTCTCTATAGATGATGCCTGGAAAATTATAATCTTTAGTAGGAAAATTACAAATACAATTGTAAATGTTTGTTTATTTATTCCTACACACAAAACATACCTTTTTCTTCAGTCCAATGTTGACTTTGAGAATTTCAACCTTTTCATCTTCCAATCTTTTCAGTTCTCTTCGCAGTCTGTTTGTCTCTTCCTCCAGAGCCTCCACAACCTTTACATATTCATCACTAAACTGGAGATTGAGAAATATACAAAAAAATAATTTTCTTCTTCCATAAGTGCAATAAAACATAATAATCATCTTTCATCTTTGTCATCAAGCTATACTCTCATTGTCATCAATATCAGACAGGTTGTACTCATTTTACCAAGGTACATCTGGTTCTGCTTGGCTAATCTATGATAACATTATGCCAAGTAAATCCTATATGGTTAAACTGCATTACATCAATCTCATTTAGCTTGGCAGGGGATGGTGTACTTAGTAAATCTTAGGCCAAATCAATCTGGGTTAATTTTGTTATGCTAGATTAGGATATTGTAACCTGTGTTTATATAACTTATAAAGATCAGCTGGAGCAAAAACAGAGCATTCATTCATCAACCCTACTTGGCCTTGGAGTGGGATCTGAGCATCACTGGTTGCATTTTGTAATCCAACCAGGTCTTGCTGCAGTCGTTCAATTTCAAGAGTCTGTCTGCTGTTCTCTGCTTGGCAAAGTTCCTTTTCCTGTCCAGAATAAACCAAGCATTATGCACTGTTATATTGTATTGCATTTCTCTTTATTAGATATTTTATGCATAATACAAAAAATAATTTCTATACCTTCTGGGCAGTCTCAACTTCTCTCTTCAGTAAGAGAATCTCTTCACCGGAATCCTGTATAGCTGATGACTGTATCTGTTGCAACAAAGCGTCAATTCGCCTCTGGTTTTGCTTGTTGGTTGAAGCCGATTGGGTCTGCTGTGTTGTCAGCTCTTCTCTCAGGTCATCTATTAACGCCTTCAAAGAAATATCAAGAATTAACCCAGACTTGTATAGAATCAGATTCACTCTTCATATTCATTTTATGTTTTATGTTTTTTTCTGAGATAAAAATACATCAAATAAAAACAGTCACTACAGAAGATGTTATGTTTTACTTTACCTGTTGTCTCGCAATTAATAATGCCTGCTTCCTAACGGTTTCTTCATAATCCCTGATTAAGAATTCACTGCAATTGGTTATCAATGAATTAGAAAGGCTATTTTCATATGTAGTGGAAATCTTGAACACAAAAAATATATGATATATATAAAAATACATAAATACCTCAAGATATATAGGTGATGTACCATATACATTATATATATATATATATATATATATATATATATATATATATATATATATATATATATATATATATATATATATATATATATATATATATATATATATATAAAAGGACTATAACTAATGAGGAATGCAATATATATAAAACACATTTTTAGACACAAGCAAACTTACAAAAATGTAAATTCATGTAAAAGAAAACCACTTACTTTTCCATATTGAAGTTCTGCTTCCACTCATAAAAGCAACATCAATCATCACATAACTGAAATATAGCACAAACAGATTCACATCTAAACTAAAATACTACTATAATAAAGCCTACTATTAATAAAGTATATATTCTTGACTAAGACCCATAAGTTGTGCATATGATGTGGTACTTGCACTGACATATAACTTGGGCAATCTCTTTCACCTGTGGCACATGGTTAGTATTTTTTCTATCTACAATGGCCTACGGAGGGATGGTGGTCCTGAATTATATTAGTATTATTTGTGTGTGTACAAACAATATAAATATACATATGTATATGCATATGCATGTATACATATATGTGCTTGTGTTTGTTTGTATGTGTGTGTATGTGTGTATGTGTGTGTATGTGTGTATATGTGTGTGTATGTGTGTGTATGTGTATGTGTATGTGTATGTGTATGTGTATGTGTGTGTGTGTGTGTGTGTGTGTGTGTGTATGTGTGTGTATGTGTGTGTATGTGTGTGTATGTGTGTGTATGTGTGTGTATGTGTATGTGTATGTGTATGTGTATGTGTGTGTATGTGTATGTGTGTGTATGTGTGTGTATGTGTGTGTATGTGTATGTGAATGTGTATGTGAATGTGTATGTGTGTGTGTATCTGTATGTGCATATGCGTGTGTGTGTGTGTGTGTGTGTGTGTGTGTGTGTGTGTGTGTGTGTGTGTGTGTGTGTGTGTGTGTGTGTGTGTGTGTGTGTGTGTTTGTGTGTGTGTGTGTGTGTGTGTGTGTGTGTGTGTGTGTGTGTGTGTGTGTGTGTGTGTGTGTGTGTGTGTGTGTGTGTGTGTGTGTGTGTGTGTGTGCATGTATGTATATATACGTATATATGTATATGTATATATACGTGCATGTATATGTATGTATTCTCAATCAAAACAAAAGGCTTACAGAATAGCCTCACATTAAATACAAAATTACACCAAAGTTTGGAAACAAAAAACAATTCCAATAACAATGATTACCATGATAATGATACATATATCTCACAATACTAAAATCTCGCTAAACAACAGTTATATTCCACTTACGCCACATAAACTTAGCAGACTCAAACGAAACCGAAGAAAAACTGAACTAAAATTTGAAATCCTCGCTCTTCGTCTCCCTGTAATGTAAACAATGATAGTATGTCAAAAAATTTCGGCGATATGGTTTATTTGAAATGAGTAATAGTTGTATTATATGTTTATGATGGGTGTGTTTTGTGGTTGTTAAATAAAGCAATAGTATGATATTTTCACTTTCAAAATTTCAAAAAATTGAAATAGTTAACTCGCCAGTATCACCCTTTGGATTACTAGATATCACAAAGATGGATATTTCAATTTATCTAAAATAAAATATGTTTATATATGACATGTATATATCTGATCAACGTATATAAAAAAAATACGGTTCAAAAATATAAAATATTAATGAATTCCCCGAATATGTTTACGTTCCGTTGCCATGACAACCGCGACGTAAACATTCCTGAGCCGAAAGTGTCGTTCAAACGCACTCCATCTCCCTTTCGTAATTCGTTTTTGTGAAATAATCCCACACTACAAGATTTATTTCCAAGACGACTGTGTGAGGTTGTGAGGTAGGTTGTGATGCTTCATGAGTTGTGTGTCTTAAGGAATGACTTGGGGTTAATGGTTTATATTTCACATTTTTTTATTAAAGGGAAAAGAGTGATAACTTACAGAAGTATAGTAAGGAAAGGGTAGGGTACTGTATTCATATTCATTTTATTAAACATATGCGTTTTAGATGATAGATTTAGAAAATATGGATAATTGAGGATTGATATTGAAACAAAATTCTATAATACATGATGTTGGGTTGTGATCAAGTTCTTAAGAATAAAGATGTATGTTGCAGTCATAAACAATGGGAGAGAGAGCTTCAGCAAGATCAAGGATCATTCCAGCCTATATGGTAGTATATACACAGACATACACATGCACACACCCACCCAAACACACATACACCATACAACTCACAACACACACACACACATGCAGACACACACATCACATGCATGCCACATACATCACATGCATGCCACATATATGCTACATACATGCCACATACATGCACACTCACACATGCACACTCACACATGCACACTCACACATGCACACTCACACATGCACACTCACACATGCACACACGCACATGCACACACACATGCACACACGCACATGCACACACGCACATGCACACATGCACACACACACACATGCACACACACACACACACACACACACACACACACACACACACACACACACACACACACACACACACACACACACACACACACACACACACACACACACACACACACATATAATTATATATGTACGTTATATTCCTGTGTGCTCCATGAGGAGGTGTCTTGATATCATGTGAAATTGTATCTCTCATAAAAAGACACTTCAGTTTACAATATATTCATGTTATTACTAATGAATGCAGAGATAGATTAGACAATAAAAAAATCTAATCTTAGTACTTTATTTGATGTTGTTATGTCAGATTTCTTGTAATTCAGAAATTTGTAATGCAAGGATATACTTAGTAAACTGTTTAATGTCTTTAATATAATACTTTGTATATATTCTATCTCTCTTTGTATTGTTCTTTACAAAAGTTTTTGATATATGAAACCTTCTGTACATAATGGCTTTTACTCACAAGGGTTGAGGAAACATTTACTTAATTTTTCATGTTTCTTTCTTTTGCTAAAGACTACAGTGCAGTGAACCCCCCCCCCCCCCCCCAAACACACACACATATGCACATGTACACACATTGTATAGTCTAAACTCTAAATTGATTTCTTGTTACTTTGCTTTGCCAAAACTCATATGGATGCCATCAGTCTTATTTTCACAGATATCTTTTTCTACAAATTCATAAATCACAGTTGTAACTATCTGTTTCAATATTATCATCAACCTTGCAACATTGCAATATCTTAAAACATCTTCCACTTTAGGTTCTGCCTGAGTAGTGAGTAAATTTGAAAGGAATTTGGAGGTTTTTGATATTACGTGGTGATATCTCATGATCTATGTAGTTTTGAGAACTACAAAGGATTGGACATTAACTTTTCTATTTAATGTTTTTTGAACTTAGCATCTGTTGCCTGATTTTTTTTTCTTTTTTCTTTTGCCTTTCTCTTATTTGTGTTCAGTTGCAGTATTTGTGCATTAATCAGATTTGGGACTAGAATGTTTTATTTTTTTGTATAATAAGTAAAAAAACTAATATATATATATAATATATATATATATATATATATATATATATATCTATATATATATATATATATATATATATATATATATATATGTGTGTGTGTGTGTATATAATTATATATTTCTTTAAATACTGTCAGAAACAGCTATTTTTTTGTATAATAAGTAAAAAAACTAATATATATATATATAATATATATATATATATATATATATATATATATATATATATATATATATATATATATATATATATATATATATACATACATATATATATATATATATATATATATATATATATATATATATATATATATATATATATATATATATATATATATATATATATATATATGTATGTGTGTGTATATAATTATATATTTCTTTAAATACTGTCAGAAACAGCTACTCGTAGGGAAAGCCATTCTTCATCTCACTAAAATTCTTCATTATCTTGCAATTTACTGCTTTATAAGATTAATAGAAAAGTTTTAATGTCCATATTTTACATGTAATAATGCAAGAAAAGAAATTACTTTCTGATATAAACAATTAACTTAAAGATTATATCATTTAGGTATAAGTGTACTGAATTTTTATCTCTAATGAAAGTTTCAGGAGGAACAAATTGCAAGGAATTTAAGTGAAGAACCTATCCCAGCAGATGGTTTAGAAGAAGGAAGTCAAGATCCAGGTAAGATTTTCTTTTATGTTTTATTTGCCATAACAAGAACTTTGATCTTCAAGTGATTAAGAATTAATATATGTTGGCAGCTGTTTTTTTTTTCTTTTTTTTTAAGACATTCCTTACAGTTTAGATTATTTGGATGGGAACATATGGTGATGATATGGAAGCTTTACTGTACCATTGTTTATATAGTTAAGATTATTTGAAATTTTAATTAAAAGAAGAATTATCTTTATGTCTGCGATGACATGCTTTATCTATCTTTGTCAGTTACATTTGGCTTCTCTAGATGTTATATTTTATTATAGCCAAAGCTGATTAACAAAATGGTAATGATACACAGAAAACAGGTAAATAGTGACTTTCCAAATTTAACAGAAAACTTGATTAATTACTTTTGGATAATATAATGCATGTCAGTTATGTATAAGTGAAAAAGTAAGAAATGTGTTTTGTACTAAGTAAGTCTTTGCAAATCTGATGGAGACCACTGAATGGATTCCAAGTTGATTGTTTTTTGTGACTTTTATCTCAAATTGTGTGGAAAGTTTTGCTATAGTATCCTCTAGTTACCAAGGAGAATAGCCAAGTAGAAAAATCTAGCTAAGTTTCAGGTATTATGCATTTTTTTGTGATAAATAGAATAACAAGAGAGGAAAATGTTTTAAAACATTTTGTTTTCTAAAGTTATATACATGATATCTTTATGGTGTGCTCTATGTATAATTTGTATCTTTTGCAATTATAGAACAGATGATTAAAATCCATATCATGGAGTTCAGTATTCATTGTGTACCAATATTCTTTTGTGATTTGATATTGTCTTTATTATTCTTTTCAACTTATATGTAAGACATTAGATTTGCATTTTTTCTAAGCTGACAGCTGATCTAAGTGTGAAGTTCCTATTGCAGACTCAGTGTCAGTAATGGAGCAACCTGTGTCACCATTATCCCAAACTGCTCCAGTTGGTATTTATATGATCTCTAGCATTGTGTGCTCCATCTGGAGGTTATTTAGACATATACATTATTATATGCATATATGTGTATAGTTGTGTTTAGAATTTAAATTTT